CAAAAGACAAAACCTTTTATATACGTTCTTATAGAGACGAGAACCATTGCAAAACATATTTTCAAAACACCTTCTAAAGCACAATCCACAAACACATCTTTGAACCATCTTTCGAAACAAAACTTTGTACGCGTTCTTATAGAAACGAGAACCATTACAAAGAGATTTTTTTCAACACACTTTCAAAGCCCACATCACAAGCACACTATCAAAACAAAAAGCAAGTGATCTAAACAAGTAACTAAGAGCCCATGGAAAACCATGGATGAAAAGGGTGCTAATACCTTCCCTTTTCATAATCTACCCCCCGAACCCGAGAAATAATCTCGAAAGGTCTTTCCTGTGATTTTTTACTTTTCCTTTTGGATAAAAGAAAAGTCGGTGACGACTCTTACTATCAGCACAAATGCGATCGAAACGCAAAATACCAAGTCAGTTCTCCCACCGTATCACAATGAACTACTAACATTCACTGAAGGTAGCAAAAAGATAACAAATTTCCCCAAAATTCTGGCGTTTCACCTAGAACGGGTCTTAACTTCTTCTTTATCCAAGGCATTCCGCCTGGAAAGGATAATATATAAGTTATCTCAAATAAAGAGACTACCACTTGCAAATATTTCTCAACAAACTGTTCTTGCGATATTGAAAAACTTGCCATCCACTGGAGTAATTTGACAACAAACTGCAAACTATCCACTCATCGAGGAGATAGCAAAAAAGTAACGTCGACCTTTATGGGGAAGTATAAGTTGCTCAAATAAAGAGACCTGCTACTTGCTATTATGAGAAGGATTGTAAAAATGACTTTCTGGGGAAAGCAATGTGGCTTCTTGGGGAAAGAAATATGACTTCCTGGGGAAAGAGATGTGACTTTCTGGGGAATGAATCATGACTTCCTGGGGAAATGCCAACATATTCCTGCTGAGGAGATAAAGTCTTCTCGTGCAAAAATAAATGCACATTCTCAAACCAAGGGTCGAAACTTGCAGAGATCAAAAGTAATAATTGCTGGGAAACAAAGATTCAAACAAGAAATAAACTGGAGTGAAACAACCAACCAAAATACATCCTTTGAGAAATAAACTCAAGAGGGAAACCCAATCTATCTAGACAAAGAGTTGTACAGGAAGGCTGAGGCAAAAATCTTTCACGAGGGATAACTCAGTGGGGAAATTGAAAGAATATACACTTTCTCCTTAAGACTTGCGCTCTATTGGAGAGAGGACAACACAACTCTGCAAAACAGGGTAATATGTCAACAAAATATTAATGAATGTGAATGAGCAATGATTTGCTAAATTTAACTATGCATGATGTATGTATGAATGTATGAGTGTTAACATGTATATGCTGACAAAACAGACATATAACACTGGGAGTAACCAGACAAAACTGACTCGGGCACAATCAACACACGGCTAAATCACATCCAAGATGAACATTCCATAAGAAAATAAGCACCAAACGAGGAAACATAATCCTATTTTGTGGCTTAACTTCACTGGGAAGGAACATAATCCGGAAGTAAACAAATCATAGCGACAAAACAGTACAGATACAGGGATATAACATCCTTCTCCAGGCTTCACCAGGGAATAGCACTCAGACTTCAATGGGGAAACAAATGTTTTCACGGTCCGCACTTCTACTAGGGATTGCAATACTGATTTCAAATAAGGCAGATGGAAACCATGTCAGCAAAACATCAACTGAGGATTTTGAGCTGACTTCATTAGGGAAATATCATATAGACTTCACTAGAGGAGATAGTGCCTCATCATCGAGATATCAACTGGGGACCTCGTGCTGACATCATTGGGGAAGTCAACATCACATCAAAGAGAGGAAACCAAGATACGTTCTTTAATATTGAGAGTAAATTTTGCACCAACTTCTCTAGGAAAAAGTATGAAACCTCATGGGGATAACAACTTGGAGAGTCAAGAAGTCAAACATTACAGCAAGAAATCAATCTTATGCGGATTTTAAATCAAACCTAACACTTGGCGGGTGAAAACCCTAAAAACTGACAAATGCCTCAACACTTCTTAAATAAAACATTGCCCTTGCCTGATTATCGGGAAATCAAACAAAATGTAAGTACTGTCAAAAGGGAGATGCTTCACAAATGAGTCAAATCTCAGCATGCACGAGGAGAAAAGACTTATATCAAATAGCAAAGCCTTCACTAGGAAATCTTAGATTGAGTCTTTATATCATGCAAACTTATTCCAACAAAAGATGCCCTGGGATAGCCTTCCTAAGGAATCAAAAAGTCAACATTATAGAAAGAGGTCAAACTCATAGGGATTTTAAATCAAACCTAACACTTGGCGGGTGAAAACCCAAAGGGTTGACAACTGTCTCAACATTTCTTAGAAAATATATTGTCCTGGTCTAGTTGTCTGGGAAATAAATACTAACAATAATGTCAATACTGCAGAAAGAGTGATATTTTGCAAATAGTTTCATCTCATCACACAAAGGGAACAAGACCTTTCGTCATATGAGGGAAGACTTCGCTGGGGGATCTGGGATAGAGGCCTCAGACCATGCAAATCCAAAAATCATAAAAATCAACCAAGACTTGACTGGGGACAATGGGGTCACAAACTTGATACCGCATCTTACATCAATTGGTATCATCTTCAATATACAAAAATCACACGCATACCAGCGAAAGCGACCTGAGAAAACCTTCTCGGGGGAAACAAAACTTCCCAAAATTACTGGAGTTCATCCATTCATGGGGTCACCACTTTTGTTTTCCTCTTGAATCACAAAATTTAAAGTAAAAGTAAGTTGTAAATTCTTTTTGAAAAATAATTTTGCTATTTAATCTTTTTGCTTTGAAAATTATTATCAATAATAAATGAAGTCTTTGTAAGCTGAATAAAAATAAGAAATACAAAGAATTTGGTAAAAGCTCAAATTTTATTGATAAAATGGTAGTCTGTGAATGGTGAGACTCCATGGATAATTACAAAGTTCAGAAAATGGTAATATATAATGGAAAATATACATTGAGATACAATGACCACTATTCCCTCTAACAACTTTGAAATCCTGAGCAGCAGCTTATGTTGAAGTATGGTGAGGATCCAAGAAGATTATTGCTTCAATGATCAAGTCTTGTCTGATGTAGTTACTTGCCAAGAAAGACCCTAACTTTTGCCAAAGCTTCCCTTGCGGGTTTTCAACTTAGCGGGAAATTTTATTCTGTTTATGTCTCTAATTTTTGCCTAGACCGCCCTTTCGGGTTTTCGGTCTACCGAGACGCTCCTTTTTGCCTAAGCCGCCCTTTCGGGTTTTTAACTTAGCGAGTTGTTCTTTTATTTATTTAGGCGAAGTATTTCTTGACTGCATCAGCATTCATGGGACGTGGGAACTTCTCGTCATCCATAGTTTCAAGAATTAATGCACCGCTAGAGAAGGCTTTCTTGGCAACATATGGGCCTTCAAAATTGGGAGTCCACTTTCCCCTAGAATCAGCGTTAAAAGACATGATCTTCCTGAGCATGAGGTCGCCTTCTCTGAATTCACCAGGTTTGACCTTCTTATCAAAAGCTTTATTCATTCTCTTCTGATATAACTGCCCATGACACAAAGCCGTCATTCTATTATCTTCGATCAAATTCAATTGGTCAAACTTGTTCTGGATTCATTCAGCCTCTGACAACTTGGTTTCCATTATCACACGCAAAGAGGGAATCTCAACCTCGATTGGGAGCACAACTTTTATTCCATTTACAAGGGAGAACGGGGTTGCTATTGTTGAAGTGCGGACATATGTCTGATATCCATGTAAAGCAAAAGGAAGCATTTCATGCCAATCTTTATAAGTAACAACCATCTTCTGGATGATCTTCTTGATATTCTTATTAGTAGCTTCAACAGCCCCATTCATCTTCAGCCTGTACGGAGATGAATTGTGATGGACAATCTTGAATTCTTCACAAAGTTCTGTCATCATCTTATTGTTCAAATTCGAGCCATTGTCGGTGATAATTCTGCTCGGCACACCATACCGACATATGAGATTATTCTTAATGTAGCGCACTACCACTTACTTAGTAACATTAGCATATGAAGCAGCTTCCACCCATTTGGTGAAGTAATCAATTGCCACCAAGATAAAACGATGTCCATTCGAAGCTTTGGGTTCTATCATTCCAATCATGTCAATACCCCACATAGAGAAATGCCACGGAGAAGAAATAACATTGAGAAGTGTCGGAGACACATGAATCTTGTCCGCATAAATCTGACATTTATGACACTTCTTTGCAAATCGGTAACAGTCAGATTCCATTGTCAGCCAATAGTAACCTACCCTTAGCATCTTTTTAGTCATCGAATGTCCATTGGCATGAGTGTCAAATGAACCTTCATGAATCTCATGGATCAACATGTCTACTTCGTGTCTATCTACGCATTTGAGCAAGACCATGTCATAATTTCTCTTGTACAACACATTTTCACTGAGGAAGAAGCTACCAACCAATCTTCTCAATGTCTTTATATTTTTATTCGATGCATCAATCGGGTATTCTTGAGTCTGGAGAAAATGCTTGATATCATAATACCAAGGTTTCTCATATGCTACCTCTTCTATTGTAAACACATGAGCGGGCCTATTCAGTCGCTGAACTATGACTCGAGATATATCATTCAAAGTATTCACTTGATACATAGAAGTCAGAGTTGCTAGAGCATTCCCCATTTGATTTTCGTCTCTAGGGATGTGATGGAATTCAAATGGTTGAAGAAGGAAAATGAATAATGTTAAAAAAAATGTAAAGTCTGAAATTTAACAAAAATTCTGACCATATAGAACTCCAACGTATTAACAAAAATCCTTTAGCGCTAAAGTATAGTAATATTTTTCTTCTCTTCATGCCAAACGAATTTACATAATAATAATGTTTATTGTTTTTGATAAACTTTAACTCCTTGTGCAATCATGGCTTTGATTTTCCTTATTCCCCTGAATATACTTATGCAGCAAGTAACTTCTGGATATCCTTCTGAAAAAATGTGAAACAGGAAAGATCAATTTATACAGATACAGTGATATCATAGCATACCGAGTTGCTAAATTAAGATTCTCTCCTATTTTAATAAAAGGGTTTGTTATTTATAAATCAATTCTTATGTTGAACAATTAGAAGCTAGACAGTTAAGCTGTTGGAAAGTTTACCTCAATTTGAAAAGGAGATGTTGTTGGTGGGTATCTTTCAACAACTTTACCGTTTTTATCAACCAAGAATTTCTCGAAATTCCACTTGACAAGATCACCGAAAAAGCCCCCGGAACTTGATTTCAGAAACTGGTATACTGGAGCAGTAAATGGTCCATTTACATCAACCTGTTTTACAAAACTTCATTATCTTGTCTCTTACTCGCATGTAATCTGTTTTGAAATACTGGATATAGAAACATTGTATCAAACCTTATCAAAAATTGGAAATTCTGCTTTGAACTTAGTGCAAGCAAATTGCTTAATTTCTTCATTTGATCCAGGCTCCTGCATGCCAAATTGATTGCAAGGGAAAGCTAGAACCTCCAAACCTGGAAAGAAAATGCATAAGGACACTAAAAATGTGAGGCTGATAAAAACATTACTTTAGAACTAAAAATCTGAGAGCTGTTCAGAGAGAAACAACAAAGTAGAAAATTGAATTTCAGTCACTTTGAAATAAATCCTTTGGAATATTTTAAATTTTCCTACAACGAAAAGTATCTAAGGCCCAGAGCTCACTTTCATGTTCCACAATAATGACCTTGACACGCTGCTTGCATTAATTACCAACTTGGAACGAAATTTGGATTGCTATAATAGCTATTCCATCCTATTGCACATTCTTCCACACCCCAAAATCGTAATTGTAATCAAAATGAAACAATCCACACTTTTTTCAGCTGCTTTTAGGGGGGAAACTGTTTTTCTTTTAAAAACTCCCTCAGCTGCATTTTCTGTTTTCCATCTCCCCAACAAGCACACGACACATTTAAATTCCAAAACGGGAGCCGTGGAATGAGAATCACAGTACTATAATGTCAGACAAGTTAGTATCAATTCCAAACGGTAGAATCCTTTAAAATATGGAAATAAAACAAGATATGTTGCCTGTATAAATTGGATAAAGCATTACACAAGGAAACAGACATGTATTAAGTTCCCCACGGGTATCCTCATACGGAAGTCAATCCTGTTCGAGACACTATTGGATACTAAATGTGACTGTCTCTTCTAGCAAAGATTCAAAATGTATTTTTCTACAAGTGGGATGGACTAGCCTTTTCTGCTGGACTCAACCCTCATTGGTTGAAATGGACATGCATTTAAGACCATAACAAATAGGTTTCCATATAGAGCTATGTTTGGCCGATAGAGAAATACTTGGAATAGAGATATGGTTTTTAAAGTAAGTACATCAACATATCCCATTTGGTTAGCTTCACTCAATCAAACATCAGTATCCACATCTAAAAATCCCAATAAGTTACCTGTGCCTGAACTTCAATAGGAACTAGGAAGAATAGACATACTACTCTCCTAATCTTAAACATAATCCAACTCAAAACAAGGAAGAATGGACATACTACTCTCCTAATCTTAAACATGATCCAACTCAAAACAGGGAAGAATAGACATACTACTCTCCTAATCTTAAACATGATCCAACTCAAAACAGAATGATTTCAGAAGTAGATAGATTCAAAATGAAGCTACACTGTCAAAATATCTAGTCACCAATAATCATATAAAAAATATAGGAAAAATAAACAAATAACTATGCTCCATAAGTAACGTACCTCTATCTTTAAAATTTTCATACAAGTGCGAGAGTTCTGTGTAATTTGATGATGTCAAGCCACTGCCATTCATTCAAAGGAAATCATTCAATAGGAGGATCATAACATACCAGAAACTTTGACATAACTTTCAAGTTATTTGATTTGAACCTTCTCAAATAGAACTTGATTAGCAGAAATTGACTAATCACTTCTGAGATACGCTTATATAGAACACACTATTTATTTTTAAATGAAGACTCGCCACCTAATTTGTTAAATGAATAACACCGAATCCATCCTATCAGTTCGGCTTGAATAATGCCCCCCTCAATATTTGTATAACAAATTAGAGGCACGTGAAGCTGAGGCGAATTTAATTTAATGTCCTTCATAAGAAAAGTGAGAGTGTAATAATTCTAAATTGCGGATGCGTGAATAAATGCTTGCAACCCGTGCGGTTGCAATACATTGCGGAAACTTCTAAAACCCTAATACTATGTACTACAATGGAGAACTATCTGCTTAAGCATACCTAAAATTTTATGTTTGGATTGGTGGGATGTGATGGAATGAAATAAAATGGAGTGGTATATAATCAGATTCCCTTGTTTGGATTTGCAAATAATGGATAGTTGTGTATTTTTTATAAGTTGACGGAACGGAACAAAACAATTTAGTTCATTCCATTGCTCCGCTCCACTCCATTCCATAATATTCTATTCTGCTCCGCTCCTTTCTAGTTCATCGATCCAACCATAACCTAAAGGGAAAGTGAGTGCAATTTCCCCTAAACATAACACTACAACTGAAAAAAATAAGGCTTTCACACAAATATAAAGTGAATAAATCATACCATCGTGAAGCAACATTGACAATCAAGAGAACCTTCCCCTTGAATTTGCTAAGAGAAACATCCTTCTTATCAATATCCTGCACCACACAAAAATCACTTTTTTTTTTAAAAACTTTAATTTCAAAAAAGGGTTTCCCTCTTTAACAAAAACCCACACAAAAAGTAACAATTTATCTACTCGAACACTCACACAAAATCAAAATCAAAATTGAAATTGAGGAGATACAAACCTTAACAGTAAAATCATAAATGGTTTTATCCTTAATAGCTTTAGCGTTGACAGAGAAAGACCGAGTCTTAGACGGAACAATGGGAAAATTGGAGGAAGCTGCTTGTTGAGAAAACCCTAGTTGAAAAAACGGTGAATTGGAAGAAGCAATAGAGGATGTGGTAAAAGGGAAAGAAGTTGAAGGGGTTGAATTGGTTCTAGGTTGGTTGAAATCACGAAGAGGAGTGAAGAAGGTTGTGGAGAAAGACATGGAAGCCATTTGTGTGGTTGACAAGTGCAGAGACTGAGATTAGTCTCAATTGTTTGGGAAATTTGATTTTGAAGTGAATTTGTGAAGGGGAAAAGTGATGTGAAAGTTGGATAACGGTATTTCCGAAATTATTGGTAACAAATTAGTAGGGTTTATCTTTCTCTAAAGACTATTTTTTTTTATAATTTTGTTATTCTTAACTTGATTAAATAAATGAGAATGGTCACTCTTGGCATAGAAATTAACATCGTGAGAAACTAATTGTCAATTATTTTGAGGATATTTTCTCTACTTGATGCCCCTCCAACATTAAGGAAATTGCAAAGTTGTGGAGGGTAAATTGAGTCTTGATTATAGAAGTTGGTGTGATGGTTAATTCACGTATCAAGAGGTCAAGAATGTGATTTTCCAGATGCATCCTCTCAAAGTGTCTGGTCCCGATGGTTTGTCCGCTCTCTTTTTTCAAAAGTTTTGGAATATCGTAGGCGCTGATGTTTGTGATCTTGCTTTGAAAATTCTCAACAGTTCCAGAGATCCTGGCCCTATAAATAACACTTTTATAGCTCTTATTCCAAAGGTTAAAAATCTCTCATGTCCTAAAGATTTTCGGAAATAAGTCTTTGCAACGTGGTGATAAAGGCGGTTACTAATTCAATTACTAACAAATTGAAATTCATTCTGCCTGGTGTGATTGGTGGGGAGCAAAGTGCTTTCGTTAAGGAGAGACTTATTACTGACAATGCCTTGATTGTTATGGAATGTTTCTATTGGATGAAGAAGAAGACGAAAGGGAAGAAAGGAGTGATGGCCATGAAGCTTGATATGTCTAAGGAATATGACAGATTGGAATGGGAATTTGTGTTGGAAACTTTGAAATCTATGGGTTTTCCAGATTCTATGGTATCCCTCATTGGTAGGTGCATTTCCACAGTGTCGTACCAAGTGCTTATTAACGGCCAGCCTAGCAGAATTTTTTGTCCTGGAAGAGGGCTCTGCCAAGGCGACCCGCTTTCCCCTTACCTTTTTATTCTGTGTGCTAATGTGCTTTCAGGTATGCTCAAAGAGGAGTGCAAGAAAAAGGAGATCCATGGCATCAAGATTGCTAGGAAGTCCCCGAAAATATCACATATGTTTTTCGCGGATGATAGTCTTCTATTTGCAAGAGCAAACTCTAAAGAGGTAGACTGCATATTGAAGCTCCTTAAGCAATATCAAGATTCCTCTAGATAGATGGTAAATCTGGATAAGTCGGAAGCATCATTTAGTCAAAACGTGCGTGATGAAGAAAAAGATTTGATCTGTAACCGGATGGTGTAAAGACTATGACGAATCATGCGAAGTATTTAGGTTTACCAGTGGTGTTCGGAAGATCGAAAAAGGAGATTTTCACCTTGGTTGTGGAGAGAGTTTGGAAGAAACTGAAGGGTTGGAAAGAAAAGTTCTTGTCCAGGGCAGGTAAAGAGGTGCTCATAAAAGCGGTAGCTCAGGCTATTCCAAGTTATATTATGAGTTGCTATAAAATCCTGGAGTCTTGCTGTAACGAGATTGAAGCGATGTTAGCAAAATTCTGGTGGGGCTCGAAGGAGGGGGAGAGAATAGTGTTAGAACAAAGTTTGAATCTACTACCCTAAGTTTAAGTTTTGATGATAACAAAATGCTAAGATACATTAATTGTATGATTCATGTAAGACACATATGCTATCTAAAAATTACATTCTGTTTTACAGAAACTCTGATGGGTATCAGCAGGAGAACATCCTCATCAGCATCAGAAAATTGGATATCAACATCAACATCAGAAGATGTTATATCAGATACCAGAATCAGAAGATCAACTTGCGCTTATGCTGAAGCTTGATGAACAGATCTGCGCGTAAACCATCTGAACTCTGATAAAGACAACAACAGTTCATCAGCACCTAAGCAGCATCAGAATGAGCCAAAGCCAGAACACGCTTAAGTGGCAACGGTACTGTGCATTCAAGACGAGTTATTACCAACGGCATCATTCCAGACAAGATCTGCTTAATAAGGAAAGAATGTTATTGGCATTGAAACAAAATTACTACTCCAACGTACACTATTTCCAATGCTATATAAACAAGTCAATGAAGATTGAATTGGCTAATGCTCTACAACAATCTACACGCTAAAAAGCTATTCATCATCTTCCTCACTCTCAGTTTGCTAAAAGCTCTCAAATTCCTTTCTCAATTATTTTAGCAATCTAGTTCTCATAAGCTTAAATTGTGTAGTATCACAGTTGTGATAAACAGTTTTGTAGAAAACATTCACACACCTAGTTTTCAATTCTTTGTAAGAAAGTAATTCCTTGAGAAACCGGTTCGTGGTTTGCATCAAGAAGGCTTTAGCAGTTGTTAAAGCAGATTGTAATATTCAGTTGAATATAGTGGATTAAGACCTCGTTGGAGAGAGGCGAAATCACCTTGACGGGTGGACTGGAGTAGTTTGAGATCAAATGAACCAGGATAAAAATACTGTGTTGATTGCAATTGATTTCCAGTTTTTACAATTCAACTCCCCTTCTTGTGTTTTTCACTTCTTCAATTGGCATCAGAGCGCCTGGTTCTGAGCTAAAACACTTAACCGTGTCAGTACAAGATCCAGCGTCAGAAAAACACAATGGCAGGAACTTATCAACACACCAGCAATGACAACAATGAAGACAGAGACAGATTCAGCGACAAACCTCCAGTCTTTGATGGAGAAAATTTTGATTACTGGAAAGACATAATTGAAAGCTTCTTTCTGGCACATGATGCTGATCTGTAGGACATGGTGACAAATGGATACACGCACCCAGTGAATGCAAGCGGTCAAAAGATTGACAGGAAAGCAATGTCTGACCAATAAAAGCGTGACTTCAAAAATCACCACAAGGCCAGAACCATTCTTCTCAACGCCATCTCTTATGCTGAATATGAGAAGATCTCCAACAGAGACACATCAAAGAACATGTTTGACTCACTCAGAATGACGCATGAAGGCAACATTCAGGTCAAAGAAACTAAAGCTCTTGCGCTCATTCAGAAGTATGAGGCATTTAAAATGGAAGAAAGTGAATCCATTGAAACAATGTTCTCAAGATTCCAAATTCTGGTGGCTGGTCTCAAGGTTCTGAACAAAGGATACTCTATTGCTGATCACGTCAAGAAGATCATCAGAAGCTTACCAAAGCAGTGGAGGCCAATGGTTACAGCTCTGAAGCTAGCAAAAGATCTCAACAAAATTTCTCTGGAGGAACTTATCAACTCCCTCAGAAGTCATGAGATAGAGCTAGAAGCTAATGAACCCCAGAAGCAAGGTAAGCCTTTAGCATTAAAATCTAACAAAAAATATGAGTCTAAAGTTTTGCAGGCAGTTGAAGAAACATCTGATGGATCCTCATCAGAAGAAGACGAACTTTCTCTCCTCTCCAGAAGAGTGAACCAACTGTGGAAGCAGAGGCAAAGGAAGTTCAGGAATCCCAGAAGATCTGATCAGAACGAGTCTTCTTCCAGATACAGAAGGACAGACTCTTCCTCTGGATACAGAAGATCTGAAGGCTCCTCAGGAAGCAGAAAACCAAACACCAAGGACATCATCTGCTATGAGTGCAATGAGCAAGGACACTACAAGAGTGACTGCCCAAAGCTTCAGAGGGAAAATCCCAAAAAGAAGTTTGGAAGAGAAAAGAAGAAAAGTCTCATGGCTACATGGGATGACTCTGACTCGTCTGAAGCTGACTCAGAATCAGATGATGAGAGAGCAAACATAGCTCTCATGGCCAACATTTCAGAAGACAGTGAAGCTTCTGAATCAGACTCAGAATCAGATACTGAAGAGGTATTTCCTGACTTTGCAATTAATTTTACTAAGGCTGAACTTGCTGAAAGCCTTAATGAAATTCTGGAAAGGTACCAGCAGATTAGAGTTAAATTCAGAAACCTGAAAAGCAATCTTGAATCTGACTCTGATAAGACTGAGAGTCTTAAATTGGAAAATTCTGAGCTGAGAAATAAAATTTCAAAATTAGAAAATGTTTTACAAAACTCTCAGAAGGAACCAATTTCTGAAACTCCCAGCAGCGCTGATGAGATCATCAAGGAGTATGATCACAGTTTCTAGAAGTTCCTTGCTAAAAGCATAGATAGAAGCAAAATGGCTTCAATGATCTATGGAGTTAGCAGAAACGGCAGGAAAGGAATAGGATACCAAGGTAAGGTTCCTTCACCAAAGAATGCCATGGATTTGACCATTAAACACACTCCTCTGAACTCACATTTTGTGTATGTCACACACATGATATTAAATACACTAGCAATAAGTATTCTGTGAAACCAAAATTCAACCAGAGTTTTGGTAAATCTAACAAATCAGGACCCAAGAAAATCTGGGTACCTAAGGATAAAATAATACATGTTGCAGATATCTTTAGCAGCAAATCAGAAACACCAGTCATGGTACCTGGACTCTGGCTGCTCGCGACACATGACGGGAAGAAGGCATATGTTCCAAATCCTGGAACTTAAGCCTGGAGGCCACGTTGGCTTTGGAGGCAATCAGAGGGGAAAGATCATTGGCTCTGGAACTGTAGGTAATGGAAATCTTCCCTCTATAAATAATGTTCTGCTAGTAGATGGATTAATGCATAAAATGTTATCCATAAGTCAATTAAGTGATAACGGTTATGATATAATCTTTAATCAAAAATCATGTAAAGCTGTTAGTCAGAAAGATGGGACTATCCTGTTTAATGGAAAGAGGAAAAACAACATCTATAAAATCAAACTTCCTGAACTGAAAAGTCAGAATGTAAAGTGTCTTCTGTCTGTTAACAACGAGCAGTGGATCTGGTACAAAAGGTTGGGGCATGTTAGTATGAGAAGAATATCTCAGATTAACAAACTCAATCTGGTCAGAGGACTTCCTAATTTGAAGTTCAATTCAGATGCTCTGTGTGAAGCATGTCAGAAAGGCAAGTTTGCAAAACCTTCTTTCAAAGCTAAAAATGTTGTTTCTACCTCTAAGCCATTAGAACTTCTGCACATTGACTTATTTGGACCAGTTAAAACTGCTTCAGTCAGTGGCAAGAAGTATAGGTTAGTAATCGTAGATGACTATAGCAGATGGACATGGGTAAAGTTCTTAAGACATAAGGACGAGTCACACTCTGTGTTTGTTACCTTCTGTAACCAAGTTCAGAATGAAAAGGATCTTAGAATCGTTAAAGTCAGAAGTGATCATGGTGGAGAGTTTGAAAACAAAGATTTTGAGTCATTCTTTAATGACAGAGGCATTCTGCATGATTTCTCTTGTCCTAGAACTCCCCAATAAAATGGAGTTGTAGAACTAAAGAACAGAACATTGCAAGAAATGGCCAGAACCATGATCAATGAGACAAGCGTTGCTAAGATCTTCTGGGCAGAGGCAATAAACACAGCATGCTACATTCAGAATAGAATCTCAATAAGATCTATTCTGGAAAAGACTCCATATGAATTGTGGAAGAATAGAAAGCCCAACATTTCATATTTTCATCCATTTGGATGTACTTGTTTTATGTTAAATACAAAAAATTATTTGAACAAGTTTGACTCTAAAGCACAGAAGTGTATTATGTTAGGATACTCTGAACGCTCAAGAGGGTACAGAGTATACAATATAGAAACACAGATTGTGGAAGAATCAATCAGTGTTCGTTTTGATGATAAGCTTGACTCTGAAAAGTCAAAGCAGAATGAAGTTTTCGCAGGTATGGAAATTGAATTTACAGGTTCTGAAGACAAGTCATCAGAAGCTCTCAACAAAGACACTCCTTCAACATCTGAAAGGAGCACTGCTAGCAATCCTACAACAGCTGCTGATCAACCTCATAAGAGACTACCCAGAAGTAGCTTGGATCATCCAGAAGAAACTATCCTAGGAAGAAAGGAAGATCCAATCAGAACAAGAGCAAGCTTCAGAAACTCTGAAGAAACTCTTATGGGACTTGTGTCTATGATTGAACCTTCTTCTATTGATGAAGCACTTCTGGACAACGACTGGATTCTAGCAATGCAAGAAGAGCTGAATCAATTCACCAGAAATGACGTATGGGATCTTGTTCCCAGACCAAAAGGATTCAACGTCATTGGAACAAGATGGGTGTTCAGAAACAAGCTAAATGAACAAGGCGAAGTTATCAGAAACAAAGCACGACTGGTAGCACAAGGTTATAGTCAGCAAGAGGGAATAGACTATACAGAAACCTTTGCTCCAGTCGCCAGGTTAGAATCTATCAGACTTTTAATTTCATTTGCTGTTAATAGAGGCATCACTCTGTATCAGATGGATGTCAAGAGTGAATTCTTAAATGGTTATATAGAAGAAGAGGTTTTTGTGCACCAACCCCCTGGTTTTGAAAGTACAAAACATCCTGAACATGTTTTCAAACTAAAGAAGTCACTATATGGTCTGAAACAAGCTCCCAGAGCTTGGTATGAAAGACTAAGTAACTTTCTGTTAGAAAATGAATTCACCAGAGGGAAGGTGGACACTACCTTATTCTGTAAATCAGTTAAGAATGACATCTTAGTCTGTCAAATTTATGTTGATGATATTATTTTTGGATCTACTAATCCTTCTCTTGGAAGAAAATTTGCTAAGTGTATGCAGGCAGAATTTGAGATGAGCCTCATGGGGGAACTGAAATTCTTTCTAGGAATTCAGATCAATCAAACTCCAGAGGGAACTTACATTCATCAGAGCAAATATGTCAGAGATCTTCTGAAGAAATTTGACCTCTCAGAATGTAAGCCATCAAAGATTCCAATGCATCCCACGTGCATTCTGGAAAGAGAAGAGGTAAGCAAAAAG